CTAGCGCCAAATGACTAAATTTGAAAATTTTCCACTTATAAGACCATTTTAAAACATCATCCAATTATATGACTAAAATGATAAAGATGTCTACTTACGGGACTAAAAAAATATTTTTTTTTGCAAAATTGGTCCTCCGACGCTGGAGATGCACATGCGTCACCTGTCTAGCACGCCAAAGCACACGTGTCCGCTAGGTAGGTGCCCCAGATGGACACGTAAATTAGTCGCGTAACTGTTCTCTTATCATTTTATTCCCATAAGTGACTTTTTGTGCCTACCTAGTGGATATATGTGTTCCTGCGTGCCAGACAGGTGCCACGTGCGCATATTCAAGCTGGAGGACCAATTGTGCAAAAAAATCTTTTACTTACGTGATGATTTTTATACAGGCTCTAGTTATGAGACAAAAATGATAAAAAAAGGTCAATTATTACACTAAAAAATAGTTTTCCCTTTTAACTTTGATGAGGTTTTCAGAATTACTACACGAACACACGCCAATTATTTTAATTTTATACATATATCAATTTTCTTTTAGGCAAAATAACAAAAGACTCACATTTGGTTTCCCGAATTGGCTGAAAACCTCCTATGGTCCTAAAATTTCATAAAACCTACTTGTAGTTTTTAAAATATCGCGAAAAATCTCTCTTCTGTTAGGATTTAACGGAGATTGCATCTCATGCGCCCATTAATTTATACTACGTATTAATATAATAATTAATATTCAAAGATTAACATACAAAAAGTCCATCGTACTTTTCTTATGAGGTGAATGTAATATTATATTAAAAAAATTATTTTATATTAAGTAAAATAATAATTTTGTTAATGTGAACATAGAATGGAGTGGTAAAGAGAAAAAATTTGAAGAACAACAAAATTGAATTCTGCATTATGTATGGTCTAAGAGCAGTGGCCTTCATTAAGTTAAGTAGCCATGGTCCTACCTCTTCCTCTATTTGACTCAAGTATTTCAACACAAATACATATATATTGTTGATACACGTAGTGTCAACATAGACACTACATGACATTTACGTGGATGCAGCGTGGTTCATTCAAACACACTTACCTGCTTTAATTTGTACATATAAATATGATTGAAAGCAATGAAATGATATACACTTTATTTACTCTATCAATCACTCATATCTTCCCTCTCTCTTTAATGCTTGTTTACTTTACATACATACACATATCATACGTACATATATATATAAATATTTCCTATAGTAGTACATACATATACTTAAATACATATATATACAATATAATACATAGATATACTATATTATTATATACAATATGTAAAATAGTGGTTAGCGGTAGAAATAATTAATATTTCAATTGGTTAATTCTATACTAATATTACAACATATATATAAAATATAATTATAAATATATCTATTGCAATATGGCTTTCGCTAAACTACTTGTACAAATAATTAAATTACAAGCACAATTTCCAGATCATCCGATAAAAAAAATACGTTTAGATAATGTTGGAGAATACTCATAACATACATTTGATGATTACTGCATGTCAATTGGGATTACTGTGGAATATCTTGTTCCCCATGTACATACGCAAAATGGTCTGGCTGAATCTCTTATCAAAAGATTGCAATTAATTGCTAGACTATTGTTAATGAGGTCTAAACTTTCCGTATCAGCTTGGGGACAAACCATATTGCATGCAACAACCCTCGTGAAAATAAGGCCGACAAGTTATCACTGTTATTCCCCTACTCAATTGGTATTTGGAAAAGTACCAAATATATCTCACCTGAGAAATTTTGGGTGTGCTGTTTTATGTGCCAATTGCGCCACCTCAACGCACAAAAATGGGCCTCAAAGAAGGTTGAGTATATATATCGGGTATGAATCACCCTCGATTCTAAAATATCTTGAACCAACAACGAGTGATTTATTTACTGCAAGGTTTGCAGACTGTCACTTTGATGAATCTCATTTCCCGAAATTAGGGGGAAATAATAATCAACTGAAAAAAATTATCGTGAAAAATACCACTTGAATTTGATCCTCATACGAAACATAATGAACTTGAAGTTGAAAGAATTGTGCATTTGCATAAAACTGCAAATCAATTGTCTGATGCTTTTAATGATGCTGCCAGAGTTACAAATTCATATATTGCAGTAGCAAATACACCAACTAAAATAAATATCCCAGAAGGGAAAGTGCCGAGTGCTAATGAGCATAATGTCCGCGTAAAACGTGGCAGACCGTTGGGTTCCAAGGATAAGAATCCACGAAAAAGGAAAATTGTAAATATTGGTGAATAGATCAATAATGATTAGATACCTGAAAAGGTCAGTATAACCCCTGAAGAGGTTGATACTAAAAATTCTGATGAAAGTGATGATGAAGTTATTGAAACTTCCGTTAACTATACCACCAGTGGAAAATATTGGAACATAAAGAAAACAAATATTGATAGTGCATTTGCATATTCTATAACATTCGATATAATGAAAGATGCCAAGGATTATGAACCAAAATCAGTTGATGAATGTCAGCAAAGAGATGATTGAGCAAAATGGAAAGACGCAATTAAGTCTGAATTGGACTCATTGAATAAATGAAAAATATTCGGCCCTATAGTCCAAACACTTGTAAATGTAAAACCTGTTGGCTACAAGTGGGTGTTTGTGAGAAAAAGAAATGAAAATAATGATATCACAAGATATAAAGCAAGACTTGTATCCCAGGGTTTTTCCCAGAGATCGGATATTGACTTTGAAGAAACTTATTCGCCGGTCATGGATGGAATAACATTCAGGTATTTGGTGAGCCTAGGAGTACACAATAATCTTGATATGCGATTAATGGATGTGATTAGTGCCTATCTTTATGGCTCCTTAGACAATGACTTCTACATGAAAATCCCAAAAGGGATTAACATACCTGAATCATTCAAATCAAAGCCAAAAGAATCATATTCCATCAAATTGAAAAAATCTTTGTATGAGCTCAAGCAATCGGGCCAAATGTGGTACAATTGTCTCAGCGAAAGCTCAACAAAAAAAGGTTACATAAATGACCCTATTTGTCAATGTGTTTTCATAAAGAAAAATGGGTCAGAATTTGTAATCATCGCTGTATATGTCGATGATCTCAATTTAATTGGAACTCCTGATGAAATCCAGAAAACTATTGAATATCTGAAAAAGGAGTTTGAGATCAAAGATTTTGGAAAAACCAAATTTTGCCTTGGTTTAAAAATTGAGCATTTGGAGAATGGAACCTTTATCCACCAATCAAATTATAGCAAAAGGGTACTAAAATAATTTCTGATGGATGAGTCACATCCGCTAAGTACCTCAATGATCGTCAGAGCACTCGATCCACTAAAGAATCCATTTAGACCAAAAGAGGAAAATGAAGAAGCACTTGGCCCAAAAGTGTCATATATGAGTGCTATAGGCACATTGATGTATCTTACTAACAGCACCCGACCTGACATATCATTTGCTGTAAATTTATTGGCAAGATTAAGTTCATCGCCTACTCGACGACATTTGAATGGGATTAAGCACATTTTTTGCTATCTCCAAGGAACAATTGATCTCGGGTTATTTTACTCGAAAGATTCTCGGCATGAATTAATTGGTTTTGTCGATGCAAGATATTTATCTGATCCTCATAAAGCCAAGCCACAAACTGGCTATATATTCACTTGTGGAGAAATAGTGATCTCCTGGATATCGATGAAACAAACTTTAACTGCAACTTCTTCAAATCATACTGAAATATTGGCAATATATGAAGCTAGTCGAGAATGTGTTTAGTTGAGGTCAATGACTCAACATATTTTGAAAAAAATTGCGGGTTAATACATAACGATAAAATCCCCCCGACTACATTGTATGAAGATAATACTAACATGTATATCTCAATTGAAAGGGGGTTATATTAAAGGAGATAGAACGAAAAATATTTCACCAAAATTCTTTTTCACTCATGATCTCCAACAAAATGGTGAAATTAATGTACAACAAATTCGATCGGATAATAATTTGGCGGATATATTAACCAAGATATTACCAACTGCAACATTCGAAAAATTGGTAAAGAAAATTGGGATGCGTCGGTTAAGAGATCTCAAAGAATGCTCAGATAAGAGGAGCAAATTAATATATGAATGTTGTACTATTTTCTTTAACTAGGATTTTTTTGGCCCCAGAGGATTTTTTCCTAATTAGGTTTTAACGATACATTCTGTATATAAAATCATTCAAGGGGAAGTGTTGATACACGTAGTGTCAACATAGACACTACATGACATTTACGTGGATACAGCGTGATTCATTCAAATCAATTTACCTATTGTAATTTGTACCTATATTAAAAGAAATAAAATGAAATACACCTTATTTAATCCATCAATCACCCATCTCTTCCCTCTCTCTAATGCTTGTTTACTTTATATACATACACACATCATAAGTATGTATATATGTATATACATAAATATTTCCTATAGTAGTACACACATATACTTATATATAAACTTAAATATATATATACACAATATAATACATAGATATAATATATTATATATAATATGGTTAGTGATAGAAATAATTTATGTTTTTATTGGTTAATTCTATAATAATATTACAATATATATAATAGTTGTTTTTTCTTATTTTGCCTGCCAATGAAAGCTTGCCGCGGGCTTGGTTCGATGTAGTTCGTGTTGAACTGATGCGCCTATTTTATAAATTTTATTTTATTTATTATTTTATAAACAGAGCTGACTCATTGTATAATTTGAAATTATACTTTAAAAAAAAAAAAAAACTGAAATAAAAACTGGAATCATAGGTGAGTTAGTTATCTCTTCACTAAAGGCCCATTTATCTTGGGCTACTGTTTCTATAATAAGCCCATTAATATGGCCCAATGGGCCAACCATTGGTTAAATATTGGTGGTTCCTTCGATATATTGCCCGTACATTTTTTTTATACCGCTGTTCAGTCAAATTTCCAGTATTTTTCGCTGCGTCGTCGTAATTTCTCCACTTCTTCAGCTCGAAGCAAAATCAGTTCAATCAAATCGGGGTGTATGTTTACCTGATCATTCCAGTGGAAGTGGAGGAGCTAGAGCTCTGTTGTTTCGTGGTAATTGCGCTAAATCTGTGAAATTTGTTCGTGTTAGTGTGAATTTGTGATTTATCTGATGTGTACTGTGGCGGCACATGATCTGCGATTTCCTCGCAAGTTGTGAATCTGTAATGTGTTTTCAAGTCAAAGCTGGATCTGCTGTTGAATGCCTGCTACTTCACTTTTGACTTGTGGTTTGCTCTGGAATTTGGTTGTCATTTGTTGTTTTGTTCATTTGTGTAAGTTACGATGTTGGAAGTTGTATTGATCTTGTGAAGAGGCGAGATTTATCGTCATGGATTTAATGATGTCTGCTGCATCTGTTGAAGTTGACTTCAGGTTTAAATCCTGCACTGGCCCATGCCGTGTTTATGCAATTCCTACTAAGAGATATTACTTTACCTGTTCAATTTAACTGGATTCCAGTTGATCTAACTATTCGGACATTAAATGGATGTAAAGGTTTAATGCAGTGGCATCTCTTTATGGAATGTTGCATTTGTTAAACAGCAATAATGGTGATTATTGATTTTTTTTGTGTATTACTACGTATCTGCTAAATGTCTTTCTTATCTATATATCTGCATTGTGAAGCACAAGGAGGCTCCTTTCATTTGCAATCACTTTATATATACATACATATATATATATCTGTGTTAAGTATGTTTGTTTCACTTTATTTTTTGACTATCAAGTTCAATAGTTTGATTGACATTTTGCTTTAATGATATTTCAGGTAAAGTTACGGAGCTAGGATGAAGAATAATATTTAGTTCTTATTCTTTGGAGATGGAAGACGAAGAAACAAATAAAGAAAGTTCTGGGAAGAACCATGAACTGCAGAAAGAAGGCGCTAGTTTAGATGATACAGTAAGAATTTCTGAAGCTGGAAATGAGGCTGATAACAGTGATGTCGCGTTGGAAGGTGCTGCTTTAGTGTCTTCTGTATTAGATGATGGTCTTTTTGAGCATGTTTCTTTGAACGATCAGGATGGAAATGGTGAGGAGTTGAATAACCCTTTGAGTCCTGATGAGTTAAGGCATTCGCCGACAGGAAGTGATTCTGCATTTGAGCTTTCTTTGGCAAGTCCTCAATCATCAATGTTTGGTTCTCCCCAGAATGTAAAGCTGCCTCATAATGGTTATCATTCTAGCCCTGGTCTTGAGATAGATTCCAACTATGGTGTTAGAGAATCTTCTTCTTCTGTTAGTCTTGAATCTACTCGGCCATCGTATGGTGATACTGGATTCTCTCCCATCGACTCACCTCAAAGGATCAAACCTGAGCAGGTTATGCCTAATGTATCTCCAGAGCTTTTACATTTAGTAGATTCAGCTATCATGGGGAAAGCTGAAAGCTTGGAAAAACTGAAGGATATCATTAGTGGTGTTGAGGGCCTTGAGGGTGATGATGAGGCCATTGCTAAGGCTTACTCAGTTGTTGATTCGCTTCTTGCCACTATGGGAGGTGTTGAGTCTTTTGAAGAGGATGATGAAAATCCACCCAGTGTGATGCTGAACTCTAGGGCTGCAATAATTGCTGGTGAGCTCATTCCTTGGCTTCCTGAAAATGGGGATTTTGAGGGTTTCATGTCTCCTAGGACTCGCATGGTGAGAGGATTGTTAGCTATTTTACGTGCTTGCACTAGGAACAGAGCAATGTGCTCTGTGGCTGGTTTATTAAAAGTACTTCTTTGCTCCGCTGAGAGGATATTTGCTCAGGATACTAGTTCAACTGAGAAAATTAAATGGGATGGATCTCCTCTGTGTACCTGCATTCAATACTTAGCTGGGCATTCTCTTAGTCCTCGTGATTTACACCATTGGCTTCAAGTCATCAATAGAACACTCACCACTGTGTGGGCAGCTCACTTAATTGGTTCTTTGGAGAAAGCAATGGGTTCAGAGGAGACCATGGGACCAGCAAGTACTTTTGAGTTTGATGGTGAAAGCTCAGGTCTTCTAGGTCCAGGAGAGAGCAGATGGCCTTTTTCCAATGGATTTGCTTTTGCAACTTGGATCTACATTGAATCATTTGCGGACAATATTAGTACAGCAACTACTGCTGCTGCAATTGCAATGGCTGCTGCTGCCACATCAGGGAAATCATCTCCCATGTCCGCTGCTGCAGCTGCTAGTGCACTAGCTGGTGAAGGTACTGCACACATGCCTCGATTGTTCAGTTTCTTATCAACTGACAATCAAGGGATGGAAGCATATTTTCATGCGCAATTTTTAGTTGTTGAGTGTGCGAGTGGGAAGGGAAGGAAAGCTTCTCTGCATTTCACTCATGCATTCAAGCCACAGTGTTGGTATTTTATTGGCCTTGAGCATACCTGCAAGCAGGGGCTCCTTGGAAAGTCAGAAAGTGAGTTGAGATTATATGTTGATGGTTCTTTGTATGAAAGCCGTCCTTTTGATTTCCCAAGAATTTCGAAGCCACTTGCATTTTGCTGCATTGGTACTAACCCTCCTCCAACTATGGCTGGATTACAACGTCGCCGCCGCCAGTGCCCGTTGTTTGCTGAGATGGGGCCTGTATATATTTGCAAAGAAGCTATTGGGCCAGAAAGGATGTTCCGTTTAGCTAAAAGAGGAGGGGATAAGCTACCGTCATTTGGTAATGCTGCTGGTTCCCCATGGCTATCAGCCAATGTTCATGTCCAAGGAATGGCTCAGGACAGTGCACTTCTAGATGCTGAAATTTCTGGGTGCATTCATCTTCTGTACCATCCTAATTTGCTCAGTGGCCGTTACTGTCCAGATGCTTCTCCAGCTGGTGCTGCAGGTATAGTGAATATTAATATGAAAAATCGAAGATTATGTGAATCGTAGTTTCCCATATCTTTCATTGTCATACTGACCTAATCATACCATTGATAAAACTCTCATCTTTTCTGCTAAAACTGGGCCAGGTAATGTATTTTACATGGGGAAATTGATTTCTATTTTTAGACTTGTGGTTTACATGAATCTGGTTTACGGTATAGCTATGTAGTTATAATATTTTGGATGTTCGTGCTTCTCCATTATTCTCTCTTTCCTGTGGAGTGTTGGGGCAGTGATTCTTTTTCAACATATTTCTTTTTCTTATTCATGTTGATTGCTTCAGAATCTCTATTACTGTTACGATATTTTCTGCTTATTGTGATTGAGAAAAGAACTTCTACTTTTTCTGACATGTGGGTCCCTTTCTCCAAGTTATGTTCATTGCTTTCGTTTGCAAGTCCAAAATCACTTGAGGTGCTCTTCTTTATTAATTTCTGCTTTCATGCATATCAGGCATGGTCCGAAAGCCTGCAGAGGTTCTTGGTCAAGTGCATGTTGCTAAAAGAATGCGCCCAGCAGAAGCTTTGTGGGCCTTGGCTCATGGTGGCCCTTTGTTTTTGCTTCCTTTGGTAGTCAACAATGTGCATGAGAATAGTCTGGAGCCACAGCAAGGCAGCCCTTCTTTAATTTTGACCACAACCCCACTGGCTGCTCCCATATTCAGAATAATATCTTTGGCCATTAAGCACCCTGGTAATAATGAAGAGATTTTCCGCCGAAGAGGCCCTGAAATATTGTCTCAAATTTTGAATTATCTCCTTCAGATGTCCTCTTCACTTAATGTTGCAAAACATGATGTGAATGAGGAACTTGTTTCTGCTATTGTGTCTTTATGTCAATCTCAGGCGATCAACCATACCCTCAAAGTGCATCTATTTAGTACACTGCTTCTTGATTTGAAAATTTGGAGTATATGCAGTTATGGACTGCAAAAAAAGCTTTTGTCATCACTTGCGGATATGGTTTTTGCTGAATCAACGGTAATGCGAGATGCTAATGCTATACAGATGCTCTTAGATGGTTGCAGACAATGCTATTGGACTGTCCGCGAAAGTGACTCTGTTAATAGTTCCATGAATGAGGATGCTCGCATTGTTGGTGAAGTAAATGCTTTAGTTGATGAACTCTTGGTGGTTATTGAACTTTTGATAGTAGCAGCCCCACCATCCTTGGCTGCAGATGATCTCAGGTGTTTGTTGGGCTTCATGGTTGACTGTCCCCAACCAAATCAGGTAAATGCCGATTGTTTATGATACGCATTTTCTCTCTTGAATGAAATAGCGGTTTGGTGTTGCTTGTGAGTATATGCCTTGCTTTGACTATTTTTATTTTCAAATGTATTTTGGCAGTTTAAAGTTTAAAATCTCAAATTGTGTACTAATAGATAGCAAATAAATCATGTGCCTGGTCAATCATGAACGGGATATTGCAAGTAGCATATAACCTGAATTTATTTTAACAACACTTGCTGATCTGCATCAGCCTTGTTTGTTTCTTTGGGTATGCCAAAGAAATAGCTCATCAAGCTTAGCCAATCTCTTGCTAGATTCTTATTGGTTATTATACTTTTTAAATCGTGCAAATAAATGCATAAGGTGGGGCGCTTTTTCTGCTAAAATATTTAGTTATGTATCTTTCCACTGAAAATGCTGAATATAGATGTATTAGAGTACTAACTCACAATTGATAAAGTAGGACCTATAATTGTAATTAAAAGATGTCTTTAATGAATGTGGTCGATAAATGGCAAGTGACATCATAAATCATTTGTCTTTGGAAGGAGTAGGCAGCACATCTCAAAGTGCATCAATTATTGCTTTAATATTTTTTGGAGTAGAGGATGTATGAGTTGTAGCTCAATAATACATGTTGTTCAATGGTCCTTTATACAAGTGAGTTACACATAAGTTTTTGCTCCGAAAAAGAACATTTTCTTTCACTGTGCCTTTAGTTTATGATTTGAACCCACTAGCTCTAGATCACTATTTCTAGACCAACCTTAGGTTTTCACCTTTTCAGTTTATCTTTAAGTTGTATAAATGATCCAAATAAGGCCTTCAAATTTGGCAATGTGAACTGTGTATCTGAGACATAGAAGTCTTATCTATAGCATCTATTTGTATATTATGAAATTGAATAATGTAAACCTGGGTCTGTTCAAGGAATTGTGACAAGTCTATCGGTATTTATGGGTTTTGTTGAGATATTTAGATATTCAGTTTTAGATTTAGTAGATTTATATTTAGATTTGGTCTTATCCATAGATTAGATTACTTAGATTTGAGTCAATTGAGTCTGTTTTGTATTTGCCTATATAGACCCTTTATTTTGACAACCAATAAGACAATTGTATTATTTTTCCCCAAAATTTTTAACATGGTATTAGAGCCTACTTTTCTCATGCGGTAGATACAGCCTACCAACTCGCGTTTCTCCGGATACATTCAACCTAGGATGTACCCGAAGGTCTCCAAATTTTGAAATTTTTTCTGTAGTTTCTAGCCTTTTTTTTTTTTTTTCTAATTTTGATTTTTTCTTGAGTCCTGATTTTGTCTACGATAGAACTCATGTCTGCGCATCTGTCTGTGATTCTGTGATCCGTCTATTGCGTTTCTCCAGAGTCATGTTTCTAATTGCAATGGAAGTTTTGCTTTCGGCTCCGGTTGAGCCATATTGTTTTTTGCTCCGGTTGAGTTGTGTCGTTTTAGACTTCGGTGAAGTCATCTTGTTTTCGGCTCCGGTTAAGTCATCTCGGTTTTTGCTCCGGTGGAGAGTCATCTCGTTTTCGGTTCCGGTGGAGTCATGTCGTTTTCGGCTCCGATGGAATTATCTTGTTTTCGACTACGATGGAAAGTCATGTCGTTTTCGACTCCAATATAGAGTCACTTCGTTTTTTTGCTCCGATGGAGGGTCAACTTTTATTTCTATTTGTGTTTTAGATTTATATTTAGATTTGGTTATTTAACATGTGATCACTGACCACTTGCTTATGAGTCTTTTGATTGACAATTAGTATCTAATATAATCATCTCTTAACATTTATGTCAAACCAAGTAACATAGCAGTCATTTTCGATCATATTTCTCTTTTTCAGTGCACGAAAGGGGTTAAAGAAGTTTTTTCATTCTTTCGGTTAAAATTTGTGTGTTGCCCGTTGAGGAACTATCCTTTCTTAGTAACCTAACAAATCTTTCGAATGCGTGTGCTATGTTGAATGATTTGCACTGTGAACCTGCTGAATTATAAACAAATGCCTAAAAGAGGATTTTTGTTTTTTACCTTAATATCTCTGTACATTGTTAATGTTTTGACGGAAATGGCATGGTTGTGCTCTTTTGCTTGCTTTCCACGCCAGGAATGTATGCTAGAGCATTACAATTGCATTATTCATTTTGTTTTAGTGATATTTTAGATAACCTGTCTCATATATGATTGCGAACTTGTGAAAGAAGCTTAGGGCATTGTCATTATTGTCATGAAGAGTTAAGTGTATAAATATTGTTTGTGATGCAAGCAAATTTTTGTTGCTTCTCTTTTGGATCAACAGAGAAAATGCAGTTTTGGTTCTCTAACTTTACTCAAATCATGATCTAAATCTGCATCCTATCGATTAGATCCATTAAGGATAACATAAGTCATGAGACATTGCTTGGCATTTAATATGTTAACAATTCTGTAGATCTACTCCTAGTTTAATTGTAAGCCTACTCAGTGTATGTTGAAGTTCTTCTGTTCGGCTAGTGTGGCTAAACAGATTTTCCTCGTCCTAAATGAGTGCTATTTTATTTCATTATATTGAAAAGCTACTGTGACTTGATGCTTAATGTTAAGATGTGGTATGCTGATGCATGGATGAATGATACATCTTCTAGGATGATTGCTGTTGTTCTAGCAACTGATTTAATCACTTTATAAAATCAACTAAGATGCCATCCCCTCTAAAAACCTGATATTGTCAAATCTTCTGAAGCCAGTGATGGTGTGTGAACTCTGGGGTCTGTGTGTGCATGCGTAATGGAAAAAGCAAATGCCGTATCTGTAAATGAAGGACTATATTTTATTTTATATGATTTCATTATCAAGATAAATTTTTTAATAATTAAATTGTTTTACAAAATGTATAGAATGAGAGTAGGTAGAAATATTCTAAAATTTATGAAAGAAGGAAATTAGGAATATGTGGGAGTATGCATTTGCATCCCTTGACAGTTACACTGCTCATACATTATATATAAATGGACCAGTAATTGCTTCTCTGTCTTTTTAGGTTGCGAGGGTGCTACACCTGCTTTACAGATTGGTGGTTCAGCCAAATATGTCCAGAGCTCATAATTTTGCTGAGGCATTTATATCATGCGGTGGCATAGAAACTATTCTTGTTCTCTTGCAGCGTGAAGCAAAATTAGGAGATTGTGATACACCTGAGTTGTTAAGTGAGCATAATGAGGTTTTATTATCAGTGAAAACAGATCTAGATAGTGCAGAAGGAACTTCTGCAGAAACTGGTGAGAGATCTTTGGAAACAAATGATTTGACACTACACGAAAATGCTTCTGAACCTGTGGATAATATCAGTGGTTATGGTGTATCCGACGTTCCGTCTAGATCCAAAGATCCTTCCAACGACAACACGAGTGATATAAATTATACAATAAGTGCTGAAAATGCACGAAACAATGTGTACAATGTTGAAAGAAGCGATGCTATCATTGTGGCCATAATAAATCTTTTGAGTGCTTTAATGATATCTGGACATTTGAAATTTGATGCACCGTCCCCTCAAAATGTATCAGGCAGCCTTATTGGTTTGCTTGAGGGTGGAGGTTCCATGTTTGACGATAAGGTTTCTCTCCTTCTCTTTGGTCTACAAAAGGCTTTCCAAGCAGCACCAAACCGGCTTATGACCTCTGGTGCATATACTGCATTATTGGCTGCCTCAGTATGTCTTCTTTCTTGATGCTCCAGTGCTTATTTTCTGTATTACACCTGATATATTATATATGTTCTAATGGCATGCTAGAATTTGTTCTATTTTCTTACTTGAATGAACCCACTTCCACTTAATGCCTTGCCCAGTCTGAGACAATGAAGAGCCTGCTACTTTGATTGCTGTAATGCTGTCACATATAAAACAGTTAAAATTTTAGCACTTACCTGTTTTATGTGATAATATAAAGAACACACATAATGCAAAATCTGTAACCACTTTAAGCTATTTAATGAAATGCTTGATTGATAAAAGACTATTGTTTATGTTTTAATAATTCATGTGTCCCTTGCCCCATTATTGGAAAATCTGCTTTATATTTTTAGTTGCATTGAGATATTATTACTCTAGGAAGTGCTAAAATGGGTATCTGAGATGTTTTTTTCAGAGAAGTTTGTACTTCATCACCTTAGGTGACCTTTTTGGTGTTTCAGATAAACGAGTCTTCTGCAGATGATGGACTAAACTTCCATGATTCAAGCCATCGTTTTGTGCACTTCCAGATTTTACTGGTTCTTCTTCGATCTCTTCCATACGCATCAACAACGTTGCAAAGCCGAGCGCTACAGGTACTAAGTTGTGTCTTGCTGCTAACTAGCACTTATTGTGATTTAAGAATAAAACAGCCTTCTTTTCTGTCTGCATCACTCATCCCTCCTATGATATGTTTTTTTCCTCTCTATTATCCTTTTGTATGCTATCCATATATTTTTGAGCTTGGGGTGAGCGGTGGGAGACGTTAATAGAAGGGATAACACGGGAGTTTCCCACAAATTAGTTAATGCTGGGATCAATTAAGTTCCAAGTTTGTGTGGTCATTGTCATTTCCTTGTTTTCTTCTACCTTGGCGGACTCTGTATTCTCTTCATGTTTTCTTGTCAAGTTGATCATCATGTGTATGCAGCATACCATATTTTTACATAATAATTTAGTGTTGTAGTTGTAGGTCTGGCCTAAAAAAGCCATCTAACTTTTGCCACATCTGCTCTCTTCGATTGCAGATGTTAAATATTTACTATTTGATTCTACAATTTCATTGTTTAGTAAGTAACTAAGTTTGCAATGTAAGTAATTGCACTGATTTTAATGTGTATGTCAAAGTGACAAGGAATTTCTAAATTATCATGGTTCCCCATTGTTCTTCCTACGTATTCTTTCATGAGTTCTTATATGTTTTATTATTTCAGGATCTTCTGATTTTGGCTTGTAGTCATCCAGAAAATAGAAGTAGCCTGACAAGCATGGAAGAATGGCCTGAGTGGATTTTAGAGATTCTTATTTCTAATCACGAGGTTGCTTCATCATCCTAATAACCATTATATTTCACTCTCTTTATGTATAGATACACAAGGATGTTTACTCTTCTTTTTTATTTTTCTATATATATTTTGTCTTCTACAAGATTTTAATACATTTTGATCTATTTATGCAGAAAGGCGCAGCTACAAATGCCAATTTGTCTAACTTGAGAGATGTAGAGGACTTCATCCACAATTTTTTACTCATTATTTTAGAGTACTCAATGCGCCAGAAGGATGGTTGGAAGGTTAAAAATCTTTGCCATTTATTGCCTTTATACTTGGTCTATTTTATTGTCAATTAGTGTTTCATAAACAGAAAAAAAAGTATATGAATGATCAGTACTGTGGTCTATGAGCAAGAGAAATGGATTGATATGCAACTACGTTATAATAAGTGTGATAAGAAATAAAATTAAATAATGTGGTTTGTCTATGATGATGAAACCAAGTAATTAGATTTCATATTTATTAATTGGAGGGATACATTCACTTCACATTTGCAGCATGTTTATTTTCTTTTAGTTTTTAATGTTTTCTATCAATGAGCGAGCTTTTGGAGTCTACTAGTGATTGACATTGTGATAGCCTGATAGGAGGATTTACTTGGGTTAAGTCTGTTCAACTTTAGACTATGGAAAATTTTCTGTACATTTCCACTTGTAGCAATATGTAGCCGGAGAGTCTTCTTTGAGTAAGTGATGTATTAGTGTAATGCTAAGTTAATTATTAAACTGAATTAGATTTGGACCACAATATACAATCAAAATTTGAACTCCTGGCAGATGATCTTCAGCATGTTCACTGAATTGAAACATCTGCATTTCTTGCGAAGGCAACTTACTTGGCAATATGAAGTACTCTTATGTTTATAATAGAGAGACATGCTGAATATTGTATTCTTACCACTTGATGTAAGCTATATTTAAAATCAGAACCTAGACTAGAGTTTTTTTATTAATATTATTTTTTTATATTTTTGGAAATCAAAAGATTTTATCCATTAAAAATCCCCGAGGGGTGTAAAATTATCCATGGTAGGAGGTAGGAGCAAAACACATCAAACTGACCAAAAAGAGGGGAGAACGTCTGCTAGGGCAAAGATAGTAACATTGAGCGCAAGTAATAAGATCCATCCCATAAGCAGCTCCATGCTTGGCAAGGGAATATGCAAGATTATTTCCACTTCTTGAAATGTGATGGAAGACAATACTAGGATGCTTGGAGATACGAACTCCATTTTGTTTACCTTCTATTGTTTGTTCTCAACTCCTCATGTATTGTGCTGTTTTTAAACCTAGCCATTTAGATTAGGCATTTGAGATGGACTTTTCAATGCAATGAGTTCTTCATCCCATTGCTCATATTTCAACCTCAACCTAAAAATTCTGAGCATCATTCATTTATTTGGTCATTCATTTAACAGGATGTTGAAGCTACAATTCATTGTGCAGAATGGCTTACTATGGTAGGTGGATCTAGCACTGGAGATCTAAGAATCAGGTAATTATGTGCAATGAGCCTAGACAAATTTTCTGTAGAAGCTTTTGGTTTTGTAAAAGTAAACAGAATTTCGTATTGGGTTTTCTGGATGTTGGAAATCCATTAGTTGATCACTTTTTGATTGTGGATTCTGATGCACAATAATTCTAATAAGGTTAAACTTATCATTGGTTCTTTGGATATTATGGTGTTTGGTCTAGTATTGGGCAAAACAAACAGTTTGCTGATGTAAACTTATTTTCTGATGAATATATTAGTTTTAGGTGAATTCTTGTAGTGGAAAATGAAATATTGAGATTCAAAAGGTTGACACTTGGTTTTACAGGCGTGAGGAATCATTCCCCATTTTTAAAAGGAGACTTTTGAGCTGCTTGCTGGACTTCGCTACTAGAGAATTGCAGGCTCAGGTTATCGTTGTATTTTGGTGTTGGCAATATCTATCTCAAATCATATAATTTCATGGTTTCATTTCCTTTTATTATGGCCTGCTGGTTTATTCTTTAATGTCTTGTCACTGTCCTGTTTTGATCACAAATATTCCTTTTATGATAGCTATAAGTAGGAAATGCTTTAGGATCCTCTACTTAAACAAATCTCAAATAATTAGTTATGGTTATGCCTTACAGATTAATGACTTGGATATCTAATTATTTCACAGCTATTCATTTATATGTTGCTTAAGCCTGAATATGATTATATATCATCTGTTATTTATTATAGCTTCTGGTATTGAAAGTAAAGTCAGTTTTTGAATGGGCCTTGCAATCTAAAACATGCGCTAGAGATTAATGCTTAAAGCTGCTGCATTTGTTTGAGCCATAAGCATGACCTGTTAATGTGATTTCAACAACGAAACTATGAAAATTTATCCAAGTAATGAGCTAGTTTTGCATCTCTTTCTGCATGATCTCCCATTTATGCACTTGCTTGTCCTTAGGAAGCTGGAAACTACAGGATAATTGGTCACATCCCTTCTAGAAGTTGGTGTTCATATGTATTACCTTCTAAAAGGAAATATATCCATATTTAATTTAATAAACTCAACTCTGGTTCACTTTAAGATCCTTTCTATTTAATTACTGTATATCTTTATTGCTTTTGTGAAATTTATTTGTAGATGTGTACATATATTTTTATTAATGTTACCACAATGTCAACATCCTAGCTATTCTATCGCTTCAGACTCAAGTTATTGCTGCCGCAGCTGCTGGTGTGGCAGCTGAGGGATTGGCACCCAAGGATGCAAAGGTGGAAGCAGAGAATGCTGCTCAGCTTTCCGTGTCTTTGGTTGAGAATGCAATTGTGATCTTAATGCTTGTTGAGGACCATTTGCGGTTACAAAGCAAACTTTATAGTGCTTCATGTTTACCAACTACATTTGCAGCTCAACCCACTAATGTGTTTAGCATGGGCAGTCGCCCTTTAAGTACAGTGCATGAGGATACATCAGATCCCGTCTCATCTCATACTTCATCATCCAATGATACTGGGGGACTCTCTCTTGATGTACGTTTCTTTGTTTCATGTTTGTATGTTGTTTGTTTTATAGGCAGGTATATCTCATAATTTATTTCTCATCAACTTACATCTGTAAGCATTTGTATTGGAGGTATCCAATATCCATTGTTGTGTCTCATTTATTTGGCAGATGTACTTCATAGATATATTACAAGTATGTGGGTGCAACTTTCTGTCATTGCAAATATGCCCCAAGTGTTATTTTATTTTATTATTATCACAATCTGAATTGGTACATGGTTCCTTTAGTATTTGAAAGAAATATATTTCATGGAATGATTAGAGTTGGTTGTCTTTGTTTTCTTCTTTGTCGGTCAACTTACGAAAACTAACAATTTTTAAGCTTTATACTAGGTTCTTGCTTCAATGGCCGATGCTGGTGGGAAAATCCCTACAGCTGCAATGGAACGACTGACTGCTGCTGCCGCTGCAGAGCCATATGATTCTGTTTCTTGTGCATTTGTGTCATATGGAAGCTGTGTAACAGATTTAGCCGAGGGGTGGAAGTACCGAAGTCAATTGTGGTATGGAATTGGACTTCCTACTGAGACATCAGTGTTTGGTGGAGGTGGCAGTGGTTGGGAGTCTTGGAAATCTGCATTGGAGAAGGATGCTAATGGAAACTGGATTGAACTTCCTTTATTAAAGAAATCAGTTGCAATGCTTCAAGCTCTGTTATTAGATGAATCCGGGCTAGGTGGTGGTCTTGGTATTGGTGGAGGATCTGGTACTGGAATGGGAGGCATGTCAGCACTTTACCAGCTTCTCGATAGCGACCAACCATTCTTCTGTATGCTTCGAATGGTGCTTGTGTCTTTAAGAGAGGATGATAATGGTGAAGATCATATGTTAATGAGGCATGTGACAATTGAAGAGAGATCAGAGGAGAATGTTCCTCATCAAACTACCAATGTTGTGTCTTTTGATGCAAACAACAGACTGCAAACCAGAAAACCACGATCTGCATTGCTTTGGAGGTACATCTATGTGAACCATCTATGAGTAGGGAAATATAATTTTAATTGGTTTCTTGTACTCTTTTATCATGGTCATGATTGATTGTGAAGATTATATTATGACTATATGTGCTGCTGAAATCTCAACAGCATGAATTTTCTTGATGATTCATAATCTTCTAATACCATCTCAAGTTCTCTTCCCAAAGAACATATGCATGAAGAGACTGTTGATTGTCTGATTTAAATGATTTTTGGAAGTGAGAATTATGGTTCATACTGCAGACACCATGCTTGATTTCCGAAAGCCTATTCTTGCTAGCCTTCCCATGGTTCTTTCACCTTGGAGGTTTCTTTCATTTTTCATGATTTATTTCAAGGATGGGACTGATTCTCATTTAATAATGTGCAGTGTTTTATCTCCAATCTTGAACATGCCTATTTCTGAGATGAAGAGGCAGCGAGTTTTAGTTACATCATGTGTTTTGTATTCTGAGGTCAGTCTTGAGCTACTTTTCAACTACCATTTTTCTTTTCTATATTCTAGGACCCTTTCATTATTTTATTTGTTGTTTTCAAAGGTATGGCATGCAATTGGGAGGGACCGAGTTCCCCTACGTAAACAATATTTGGAGGCCATCATACCACCCTTTGTTGCTGTTCTGAGAAGGTGGCGGCCCCTTTTAGCTGGGATTCATGAACTTGCTACTGCGGATGGTATAAATCCCCTTGTTGTTGATGACCATGCCTTGGCTGCAGATGCTTTGCCTGTTGAGGTGATTACTCAATTATGTTTTGTTACAAGTCAGTGGTCTCTTTCTGAAATACCATACAAGTAACACAATCATTTGGCCAGTTTACCTTAGTCAACTTTATAATGGGCCTTTATGGAAACTTAGGGTGCGGTTGGTTACCGGTTCGATTATTGGAAATCGGATTGCAAGTGACTTATTTAATTAATATTTGATTTATGATGTAACATGTAGAAGATTAAAAAAATTAATATATGTGTTTAATTATTTTAATAACTATATTTTGAAAAAAGATATACAATATGGAAACTATTTTTTAGAAAATAAAATTTTATATAATACAAAAAATAAATATAAATATTTATTTATGATTAACATAACTTAATTTTATAAATAAATGGAAAGTTTTGAATGTATATAAATATATTTATTTATTAGAGAGAGATAGAACTATAAGATTTTAAATGAATTTTGATTGATCTCATATGATGTAATATTTTTTTAAAAAACGTTGGGACCATATTGCAACTTTGGTTGGGAAGCAACCAAACAGAAGTTGACTTCTCCCTATATTTACAACGAGGCCACAGGTTATGTATTTATCTCTGCTTTGGTTCATCACTGGTTCTTCGATGTGCAAATTGAAAATTACTTGATGGTCTTTAATCACTAATGAAGTACAGACATTGAGTCTTATATCAACCATATTTGAGAAGAGAACTGTAGCCAGCATGATGCAGTTAGACTGATAGGATTCAGTTTTGTGTCTGCTCAATCTAAAACTGAAAAAATCTATTTTAGTCTGAACACTCTGATCACACTTTACTTTGTTTGACATGGAATCTATACTATCTATGAATTCCTCATATCATGAAAGGGCTAAGACATCTATTGATATATTTTAGGCTGCTCTTGCTATGATATCTCCTAGCTGGGCTGCTTCGTTTGCTTCACCTCCTGCTGCTATGGCATTAGCAATGATTGCTGCTGGTGCATCTGGTGGAGAAACTTCTGCTCCTTCAAAAAGCTCACAGCTTCGACGCGATTCATCATTGCTTGAGCGGAAAACAGGTAAACTTCATACATTTTCAAGCTTTCAGAAACCTTTGGAGACACCTAGCAAATCTCCAAACATTCCAAAGGACAAGGCTTCTGCAAAAGCAGCTGCATTAGCTGCAGCAAGAGACCTTGAGCGCAATGCAAAAATTGGTGCCGGACGAGGTCTTAGTGCTGTGGCAATGGCTACAGCTGCACAGCGGAGGACTAAAAGTGATGGTGAGCGTGTAAGGCGATGGAATATTACTGAAGCCATGGGAATTGCTTGGATGGAATGCTTACAGTCTATGGACTCAAAATCTGTATATGGCAAGGACTTCAATGCCCTTTCCTACAAGTTTATCGCTGTTCTTGTTGGAAGTTTAGCTTTGGCCAGAAACATGCAGCGATCTGAGGTATTTTATTGCTTTGTTGAAAGTTCTCTAGTCAGTTATTACACATTATCCCAAATGTCCTAAAATCTCCTTTGATTCTTTAGGTTGACAGAAGGGCACAAGCTATTGTAATATCTCAGCATCAATCATACACAGGAAAACGTGAATGGCGCAAGCTTATCCACTGTCTGATAGAAATGAAATGCCTTTTTGGGCCTTTTAGTGGTGATCTATGCAATCCTCAGCGCGTAAGTTTTATGATTTGGATTGAACTTGTGTGTTTGATTGAAAATTTTCTGACTTCATCATTTGTCATTTTAGGTTTTCTTGAAACTTGATTTCATGGAAAGTTCCTCGAGGATGAGGATGATTTTACGTAGAAACTACCAAGGCTCCGATCACCGTGGTGCTGCTGCAAATTATGATGATCATATTGACCAGAAGCATGATAAAGACAGAGCAATAAATCCATCTGAGGCCTCTACCTTAGCTGCAGAAGCCATCTCAGCTGATGTAGAAATTGAGGAAGATGAGCATGATACTGCTTATTTGGATACAAATAATGAACACCCTAGTGATATACAGTTAAGATCCCCATCTGGAGAGCATCCACAAGCATCACCAGAGTCCACAGGTGCTCCAGTGACCAGTGGCCTTGACTCCACTCCAATCCCAGCAGGAGTTGCCCCTGGCTACGTTCCTAGTGAACAAGATGAAAGAATTGTATTTGAGCTCCAATCATCCATGGTCCGTCCCTTAAAGGTTCTAAAGGGAACTTTTCAAGTAAGTTTTGCATAGTGCATTAATATTTACTTTGTTGACATCTAGTATCTTGCCATTTTTCTGATATAAATTTGCTAGGGCATCTCCAACCAGCTCTAAATTTTTGGCAAAAAATGATTTTCTGTTCCATTCTCTCTCCAATTTGCCCTATCTTTTGCTCCAGATTTTGAGCTATTGAACATTGCAGCTCTAAAATTGGGTTCGCTGTTCAGCTCCAGTTTTGGAACCAATTTTTATAAAATGCATATTGACCCTTCAATTTATTCAAAATTAATCAATGCAATTATTTTAGTATACTTTTATTTTTTTTATTTTTTGTAATATATTTTTAATCTTGTTATATTATGATTAATTATAGAATATAATTTTTGCCTTGCATGGGTTTCTATTCAAATATTATATATTGTTTATATTATGTAAACAGTAAATTTAGACTTGATTTGTTGGATAAAAAGAAAATTACAAAATATAGTTAAACTAAAATTTTGTTCTTTACTTTGAATTAAAAAAATCAATAATTTAAACTTACAGAAATATTATTTGTGAACAACGAAAAGTTGAGTAGGCTTTGTGCATTTGTATAAAATAAAGTGGAAAAGAGAATATATGGAGAATAATCTGTTTATAGTCTAAAATAGAGCAATTGCCTGGAACCGAATTAAAATTTGGAGTCCAATTTGTAGCAAAATTTAGAGAATATGACTTTTCTTATTTCCGAAGAATAAAAAAAAAAAAAAAAAATTAAAAGTAAGTGATATTTTGATACTACTGCATGTGCTGAACATTATATGTTGTGAAACAATCTTCTTCAGATAACTACTAGAAGGATCAATTTTATTGTTGATCACATGGATAATAGTATTTCCGGAGATGTTGACTGCAAAGAATTTAATGAAGTCCAAGAAAAAGATCAAAGCTGGTTGATTTCTTCACTTCACCAGGTGTACAGCAGAAGGTGATACTTTAAATACTTACATTCACTTAGACCTTGACAGTATCTACTTTTTCAATGTTGTGTGTTGCATTCTCCTTTATAAACCTTAATGAATATGGGCAATGCTTATATCTGTCTTCTGATCTACCTTTGCAACATGATTTTATCTGCCTTTCCTTTTATCTTTTGTGTTTCCCTTTGTTAGATTTATATCTATACTTATAATTTAGATAGACTTGATATGGTTAGGTTTATTTGTGTGTGCGTGTGTGCTAGCGCGCGCTTATTCTCCCCTCTTATTCTCTTGAAATGAAATAGAATAAACTTCCCACTATATTTTCTACACTTCTTTTTGTGTGTTCTTTAATGGGGCATCTGACCTAGAAAAATTGATCCATTTTGATGCTGAAGCTCACTATCATTATCTTTGTTCAAGTTCTAGAAGTTCCCCTGAACCGTTCTTACTTATTTATTCTAATGGCTTATTTTATAAATAGTTAATGAACCTCTTGTAGGCTTTAGGTTTGTCATTAATCTTTGTTAATGATGAGAACATACATCATAATATTTTTGCAAATAAAATGCATCCTTGGTCTGACTACCTGTTTTAAATCTGGACTTTTCATGAGTTTGTATCACGTTTGGTTTGGATATTACAGTATATCAACTATTGCGGGATCATAAATTTTTGGATCATTGTTTCTGCAGATATCTTCTAAGACGAAGTGCCCTTGAATTGTTCATGGTTGACCGATCAAATTTCTTTTTTGATTTTGGGGTATGTCCCCCAAGGAACCTCAAAAACATATGTTTCCTCTTTTGACTTGTGTCAGCCTTTTCTGTTTTGATGAATGGTTCTTTTCTTTCTTTCATTTCCTACTGCAGAGTACTGAGGGACGGAGAAATGCATACCGTGCTATTGTACAAGCTCGTCCTCCTTATTTGAACAATATCTACCTTGCAACTCAGGTATTTAACTTCTAATGTCCTATTACCTTGTATTACCTGACATCCAAGTCTTTGTTATTCCATTTGAATACGCATTTGAATTATGGCATGATCACTTAACTTAAATTCGTAAGCTTTTAAGTACATCCTTTTTGTATTTACGGAAGTTACAATCATTCTACCCTTCACATGCAAAATCATTATTTAGCTTTACACATGGAATATTGTCACTATTTTATGAATAAAATCTTATTATATTTCTATGGGTGTGTTTGTTTGAGGGTTTGGATTTTGAGTTGAGATTTGAATAGTAAAAATTTTGAATTGGAATAGTGGTATGATGTGATATAAATAGGTGTTGATGTGATGTTTTGAATGTAAAATTGATTTTTAGTTTAATATAGAAAATGAAAAATAGGTGTTTGATTTGATGTTTGGGGGAGGGGGAATTGATGAATAGTGGAAATCTTTGGAAATCTTCCAAACATACACACCCGAAGTGTATCATTATATATATGACTGTAAATTGCTTAAAACAAGCAGGTACCTTTCCACTTTGCTTGTGATTAACGACAAACCCATAGAAATAAAAGGGGTGTGAGGATTCTTGACTTGTATGACAGTATTAGAGATTATGGGAGTTTTAACGATTTTTCCTTTTTGAAGAGACCCGAACAACTCCTGAAAAGAACTCAGCTTATGGAACGTTGGGCTAGATGGGAGGTATGCTCAAGCTCAAAAGGTTGTGAATGGTTTCTTGTTTTTTAGGTTTTACTTAAATAATACACCTAGTTAAAAATTCTCTGCAGATCAGCAATTTTGAGTACTTAATGCAGCTTAATACATTGGCTGGACGCAGTTACAATGATATCACACAGGTTTATAATATGTTGGCAATATTCCTTTTTGCAGCATGAGATAGAAGAACTTCATTTTATGGTTTTAACACTAATTTCTTCCATGTGTGCAGTATCCTGTGTTCCCATGGATCCTTTCTGACTATAGCTCAAAGAGTTTGGATCTTAGGAACTCATCATCTTTTCGAGATCTCTCAAAGGTTGTCATTTTAGATATTTCAATGAAATTATTATAAATGTTGATTTCTCATTTAATCTGCAGCCTGTTGGCGCCCTCAATGTTGATAGACTGGAGAAATTCCAAGAAAGATACGCCAGCTTTGATGATCCAGTTATTCCCAAATTCCACTATGGTTCACATTACTCAACAGCTGGAACTGTGGGTTTTCTTGTCACTTCTGTTGTATGTGTTTGACAAAAGTTATTGGGGAACTCTTTGGTCCTAGAATATAATCTATTCATGAAATAAATGCCCATTGTTTAGCTTGGCATATGCCATTCCTTAAGCACCAAAATCAGAAGCTTGGAATGCAGTATTAAAGCCAGATTAGTAGATTTTGTGGCAATACAGATCTAATTACACATGAACAGTTGTAGAAGTTTTTCCAGAAGAAAAAAGAAGTTTATTGAATCATTATAATAGGAGGAATTGACAAGGGGGAAGAATTTTTTCGCAGAAGTTAACTTTGGAATCACTGTCACAATATCTTTTAATCTTAACAAATAACGTTGTCTATCCATTCGTGGATATTTTTTCTGTGGCATGTTGATTCTTTTTCTAATGAACATTTAAGAGAAGAAATGCAATTACTCATGGATCAGCAGTGTGCTACTACATGCTAAGAATGAAATGCTATATTGACATACTAAAATGTATCTTGCTTGTTTGATTGCTTTAGCCTTCTTAACAAATGATCAAGTCAAATTTTGACCAAACACTATTTCTTCCATCCTTCCTCTTGATTTTTTGAGTCTGAATGATGCCCTTGGAAATTTGAGGGTATCAATTAGTGTATAAGGCTAAACTTCTTTTCTTGTATCTTCGTATTTGGCAGGTATTGTATTACCTCACTAGAGTAGAGCCTTTTACTACCCTTTCTATTCAACTTCAAGGTGGAAAGTTTGATCATGCTGACAGAATGTTCTCAGACATTGGCACAACTTGGAGTGGAGTTCTGGAGGACATGAGTGATGTAAAGGAACTGGTATGCATTCATCTACTGTTATCTAAATCTCTATTGTTTTTATTTTTTTTATACAATATCTTGACCTATGTTTTTGCAGTTCTAACATTTTTTGGATGTTTGATATTGCACTTAGTGTCTCTGGTTAGTTGTTTCTTAGAATGTGTACTTTGGTTTGTTTGTTATAATATCTCTATTTCTTCATTTGTTTATCTCAGGTTCCTGAGTTGTTTTATCTTCCAGAGATTTTAACCAATGAAAACTCAATTGATTTTGGAACCACACAACTTGGTGAAAAGATTGGTATACATTTAGTTTCTTATTACCAGTAAAATCTAAAGTTGTGTTGTGTTCTTACCAGATTTTTGTGTAGCTTTCTACTTATTCACATTTAATTCCCTCCCATCACAGATTCTGTTCACCTACCTCCTTGGGCTGAAAGTCCTGTTGACTTTATCCACAAGCATCGAATGGCTCTTGAAAGTGACCATGTTTCAGAACACTTGCATGAATGGATTGATCTCATTTTTGGGTACTTCACCGTATTTTGTTAAAACATCATTAGTTACTATGATTACTATCTCTCTTCACCTTCATTGTAAATTTAGAGCTAGTTGATTTATATCAAATCATGTATAACTTTAGCTCAAATTTTCCGAAGCTGATTTATAGAATATATGCATCCTCAGGTATAAGCAACGTGGAAAAGAAGCTATACAGGCAAATAACGTTTTCTTTTACACCACATATGAAGGAGCTGTAGATATCGATAAAATATCTGACCCAGTGAGTTGAATTTTATCCTTTTTCAACTATTTAGATACATGCTCTTTAAATGTCAATATTGACCATTTTTTTCAAAAAATTAAAAGGTACAACAGCAGGCCATCCAAGATCAGATTGCTTACTTTGGCCAAACCCCATCACAACTTCTAAGTGTACCACACATGAAGCGGATGCCACTATCAGATGTCCTTCACATGCAGGTACCTCGTAACGCCCTTAGCTTTTGTGATTTTTTTTCTGGTATCTTGTTCTCTTATCTATTAATGCACTCATGAAAACACATGGTAATTTACAGAAATCAATTATTATAGAACTAGGAAGATATAAATAGACACTGTACAAGTTGAGAGTGAAATAAATATTGATACCTTAAAATTTGAATTGAAGCTCCTTGTAGAGGGTTTGTTGTAAAACATGGGAGCTTTGTAGGTGTTTTCCCTGTCTATCCAGGAGAGTTTCGTCACTTTTGATTCTTCTGTCACCTTATCTGTGATGGTGAAGGAATTATGTTATTATTTGAGAGTAGAGGTAGGCTGAACTATGTGGTGGCATGCAGTGTAATGTAAGGTCTGAAATTCAAGAGTCCATCATGAAAGTAGGTCCAAAAAATCGGAATTTTGTACCATTATGTTCCTAAAACTAATTTTATAAATATATTAACCGCAAAGTAGAATTCTGATCTGCAGCCACTTTTATACCTTATTTGGAAATTGGTCTCAATCTCATCAAAAGTTGCATTTTAGTTCATGTCTTTTATTCTTCTTTTTATATATAGAAAAAATGTGTGACCAATGTATGCACGTATATAATTGGAGATCAAAACACATTTTTCTGAAGTGATGTAAGGGCAAAGTTTATAGTATAGTATTACTGTGAAGAATTTCTGGATTGCAATAATCAAATAAAATCTTTTACGTAATCTTTTTCAAGAATTCCCATGCTTTATATGGCATCAGAATAAATTTCTGGGGTTCTAATATTTTCAGAATGGAAGGATTAGGATTCACCCATAAATTTTTTAAGTTTGACCAATGTATTCTCTTATTGAGTTCTACATAGAATTTTATATTTCATTTTAGGCTTTTGGGATGGTTACAGTTGGGAACATTAAGTAACCATCACAAAAATCTTTACTTGAGTCACTTAAATTGTACATTTAACTACTAGCTCTATAGTAATAATGCGTATTCGATTTTTCATGGCTGTTGTTGATTATAAATTATTATAAGAAAAAATGCCATGTGTTATATATTTGTAGATAGTTACCCTGAATCCAATGGGGGTTATGTATTTATCAAGCAATTTTTTGCTTAAAATCTAATCATTCTACATTCGATCTGTATCAAACTCATCTACAACCTGGATGCTGAAATTGGCTAGATTTTGATAACTTCATAGAAGTTAATTGCCAACTTTAACTTTTGTTGTTTCTGCCAAGTTTCACGACCCTATTGCAATAAATTAGTATGTTCAGTTCAAACAGAACTCCAAATTATATGTGGATATATTAGTAGGCCATGGGTTTTGTTTAAGTTGTGTGCAAAGTAAGGTAGTAGTACTACGTGTTATAATTATTGTTTAGACTCGAAGGGCCATTGACCTGATCATATCCTCTGATATACAGACCATTTTCCGGAATCCCAGTGAGGTGAAGTCGTATACTGTTCCCTACCCTGAGCGATGCAATCTGCCTGCTGCTGCCATTCATGCATCTTCAGACTCTCTTGTCATTGTCGATATAAGTGCTCCTGCAGCTCATGTAGCACGGCATAAGTGGCAACCAAACACACCTGATGGCCAAGGGGCACCTTTTCTGTTTCAACATGGAAGGCCTGATGTAGGTAATCCTGGTGGGACTTTGATGCGAATGTTTAGAACGCCAACTGCCCCAGGATCAGAAGATTGGAATTTCCCACAGGCATTGGCATTTCCCACTGCTGGAATTCAAAGCACAAGGGTTGTTTCAATAACTTCTGACCAAGAAATCATCACAGGTGAGAATAAGTACATTCTACATAGTTAGATTTATAACTGTTGCTCCATGTTTGACATAATAGATTTCTTTCTTGCTGTTTAGATATGTCTTGGGTCTTGCATGTGTTTGGTTAATTGGGTATTGTTTATTATGATGTCAAATGTGGCGTAACTTAATATCACTATCTCCACCCCTCCTCTTTCTACATAGTGATAGTCTGGCTCTGCCTTTGAGTGACTGTTTAGAAATTCTCAGACAATGCTTTTTGGTTTGTCATTTCTCTTTCCAGATGATTGGATTATATTTTGATGGAACTGGGGCACTGCAAATCCGCATTTGTTAACTTCAAACTTGTTATTCTATTGTAGGAGGGCATGCAGACAATAGTGCGAGGTTGATTTCAGCTGATGGGGCCAAGACATTGGAAATAGCAAGAGGACATTGTGCTCCAGTGACATGCCTGGCCATCTCTCATGATAGTACATATCTCGTGACTGGATCAGGGGATACAACAGTTTTACTCTGGAAATTGCATCCGTCATCAATTTCACACTCTATTAGCTCTTTGGAGACATCCAGTAATGCAAGCACACCTCCATCCACAGGCAGTGGAGCTGCAAGGAATAACTTAGCAAAAAATGTTAAGTCACGTCGAATTGAGGGCCCCATTCATGTTCTTCGAGGTCATCTAGGAGAAATAACATGCTGTGCAGTCAGTTCAGACCTTGGAATTGTTGCTTCCTGCTCCAACACTTCAGAAGTCTTGCTTCATTCAATAAGGCGAGGCCGGCTGATTAGGAGACTTGTTGATGTGGAAGCTCACTTGTTGTGTCTGTCATCTGATGGTCTCATAATTACGTGGAACAAATATTTATGCATGCTGAGGACCTATACTCTCAATGGAACTCTGGTTTCTAAGAAACAGCTTCCAGTTTCATCAGTCATTAGTTGCATAGAGATTTCTGCTGATGGACACAGCGCAGTGGTTGGGTTGAACCCATCTTTAGAAAATGTAGTCTTGGAGAACAGCCACAATTTGGCGCAATCTGAAAGTTCTGATCATGAATCAAATGCAGAGAACATGCTGAATTTACTTTTGCCATCTATTTGCTTCTTCGATGTGTATTCTCTTAAGGTAGGTAACAGTGTTGGTACAATTTATACAAGGGATGTAATTCTGATGCCCTATGTTCTTAGCAAAACATTTTCTCTTTCAGAAAAGTGCTTGTTCCAAATCCACACTAATTTCCATCTCTCTTGATATCTGTACATAGCATCTGACACTAAATATGGTGCAGGTCTTTCACACAATTGAACTTGCAGAAGGTCAAGACATTACAGCAATTGCATTGAACAAGGATAACACAAATCTTTTGGTATCAACAGCAAATAAACAGTTGCTGATAATCACAGATCCTTCCGTGAGTACTATCCATTTCAGTCTCATTTTTTTTCTACCACTAAACTATTGAATCTGCATGTTTCCATATGCTGGGTGATTTCTGAATGGTTTATATTTGGCAAGAGAAGTCAATTTATTGAAATTATGCTTGGAAAATACCAGTGAAGAAAATGATGTTTCTGATTTCCATTTATGTATTTGTTTCTCCTGATACCTAATTTGTTGAGAATGAAATTAACTCATCGTCTCTGACATTTCCCTCAAACATGTCATCTTAGTGCTGCTAGTATGACAATGTTGTAAATGTTCTTTGCAGCTGAGCTTAAAAGTTGTCGATCAGATGCTCAAACTGGGGTGGGAAGGTGATGGATTGTCCCCCCTCATTAAGTGAGTTATTATCTTCAGATATCTTCATATAGAATCAACACTCCCGGAGCAGCAACGTATGATCGCCATGCATTTGAAACTGAGCTATTCCTTCTACATTCAAAGATACAATGCCATCGTTATGTCCCATGTTTATAAATAGCTGTATTTTTTGCACTGATGTGCAAATTTTGTCACTCAAAATGCCCTATATGACCTTCTGCTAATGTTGTATGTTTTTGTTCATTATTTTGAACACCCATTGTTATAATGTGTAGAAAATCATGAGTTGGAACATGCTTGGGGCTCATGCCTCCGTGATATGTACTACACTCCAACCCGAGGTTTGTAATCGGTTGTGTACATTTATCAAGATTTATTTGTTTAGATATGTAGCTGGTATTGTCTGCAGTTTGCTTTTATCATGACTAGAGCCATTATTCCCATTCAAAGTGCCTTTCTGAGGTACTCCGAAATGGATTTAGTGTAGAAAATGTCTGGACGATACGAAGGATATTATGCATACTATCAACAATCCGTACACTGTATGCGTTTTCTGATCGCTTTCTCCTGCTATTGTTCTCAATGTACTATTTGCTTACTATTGTTTTTCACTGAGCATGTTTCCTTCTATATGTAGGAGAAAGCCACAGCTCACGGTATAGTTTTAGCATCCATTCTCCATTCTCTGAAAGCTCCATATTCGGTACCCGGTTTATCACTAGGTAAGATCTGTTATGTACTTCATCACTCAATCTACCGAAATCTCAGGAGAATGTCTGAACTCTGAAGCTATCATAATCATTGAAGAGTACTGACAATAAAGTTTTCAAGAGATTTTATCCACTGGATTTCTTTGGATATCATAATCATCACCTTTGCTAACCTGGAAAACTGTGACTTTGTAAGGGCTGTAATGCTGGAAGCAACCGGTTTTATTGTGTCGTCTATGTTCTGAGCCCTTCGCCGTTATCTCCCCTTATGAATCCCATTTCAAATGGTCAAGGTACACCACTGTATTACCCCTTTGATATACTGTATACGTCTATTTTGTATCATGCCACAAGTGTTCTTTTGCATCCTACATATGCCATTAAACTTTCTTGGTTATACAATACTAAATAGGTGACATTACATGCATCATTTAGTTTTTTATTATCACCTATTTGAATCTGTTACGAAATGAATATCTTATTCTATAGAAATATTCTTCCTGTCCTACTTAAACACTAACCCTAGTCACTTATTATTGTGAATCTAGTTAATTCTAATCGACTTAGACCTAATACTATTCAGAGTCTTAGGTCTCGAATTCGAGTTCCACCGCCACTGCACCTTGTTTGAAGTTGTCTACGTGCAAGTTTCGTTTGGTGGCGTTTACCCCCTTGCACGTGAAGGGGCGTGTTGGTTGACTCTCGTTTGTAGATAAATAAATAAATAAAACGTATCCTAATAGTCTAAGCTTTCAGGTAAGACAGTCATTTATATTATCTAACAATAGGTAATAGGGAGGGTAGACCAAGTTAACATGACTTGAACTCAACTCAAACCACTGTAAAATGCCGTTATTATGTGAATTTAAGACACTCTGCAAACTGTAGATTGCTTATAGCTAGCTTGGAGTCAAGTCTAGCCTTGTGACAGCCCCGACAATTTACTTATGTGGATAAGACTGCAAACTGTAGATTGCTTATAGCTTGAAGTCGGTCATTATACGAATATTTATATCACTGGTAAGTCTCCGGTTTGAAGCTTCTTTGTTTTTTCTTCCACAGGATATTCAAGTATTCCGAAACAGCCAATCCTTGTGCTGGGATGGTAAAAATGGCGCCAAACTTGATTGATACCTTCTCTCTGCAGACCAACTCAAGGTATGTATTTCTACATCAAGGTTAAGTCAGAGAAAAAAGTACATGCTTTATAACAAAATTTTGCACTTACAATGAGATTAACACATCTCTTACTATGGAAACATCACATCCATATGATTAATTTAAGTATATGAAATCATGAAAAATGCACATGCTTCATAATTGATTATGTAAGTATTTTTAATTAGACAGCATATCTCGTATAATAGATTAGCACACATATAATACATCTGAGAAAGCACATTTCCGTTATGGAAAAAGCGTGTTATATGATTGATTCTGCACAATGGAATTATAATCTGAGAAAAATAATTAATTTTGAGTATATTTACTATATTTTTTAGACAAAAATGAATATATTTATAATTTTAGGGATATGGAAATTGAAATTCTAAATTTTATTCGCAGTTGAGTCGCATTTAGATCAATCAAGAATACTGTTAAATAAGGGTTAAATGCAGTTTTAAAAGTATAGGGGATTTGGTACAATCTTGTGAAGTGTTTGCAATTTAGCCTTAATTTTATAATGAAACTGCATAAAACGGTACATACAATATCAAGAGCACCTACACCCACTAGCCCCGACATTAATGTATGTTTTTAACTGATTCAGGTCGAGTAATATATTTTAAGTTCTAGGTTTTGTTAGACTGGCTATGCGAGTGTGTTTCTCTAATCGTACATTATTTTTAATACCAAATTCAAACTAAAACTTTTCAAAGAAACACAAGTTTGTTAAGTACATCTCCAATGCAACGTCAATTTTGACGTTGCAACTGCATTTATGCCGTGCCGGTCTCCAATCGAGTGCGAATTGCAACACTATTTTTGGTGTTTGCTACAGTGCAACACAAACGCTTGTTTGTTTTATTTTATTTTTTAAAATTTTTTTAATTTTTAAAATTATAAATTTGACTTTTAAATGTAATTTTTTTTTTATTTTTAAAAAATTTATTTAAAATTATAAAAATAAAAAATTGTTTAAAATAAAAAAAAAAATTGAATATTTGAAGAATAAAAGAGAAAAATAGAGTTATGGTTAGAGTAAAATTTGAGATAAAATTGGATAAATTGAGTTGATGAATTGAAAATTGTTAAGGTGCCAGTTCAACCATATGATACTGTGCTCGTGGCTTGAATAATAGGACTTCTATTTTTTCTTCTTAGTTGTTAAAGTTATGTATAATTTATTTATAATAATAAATAATTTTATCAATACATTATTTTATTATTTTTATTTTAACAAATAATAAGTTATCATTTTTTTTTTTTACTCTACTAGTTTATCATCAACTTTTATATAATACCTTTATTTTATTTTTTTTATAATACCTTTATTTTATTCTTTATTTATTCCATTCTTACATTAAAATATTATTCCTCTATCTTGGTTAGGGTTGGGCAAGGTTCGGATATCTGCAAATATACAAGTATTTGATATCCTAATCGAACCGAATAAATATTCAAAATCGCAAATCAAATCCGAATTGAAAATTTCAATTAATCGAAAATATTTGTATTATATGTAAATATACGAACCGAAACAAGTCGAATTCAAACAAATATTACAAATAAATCTACTTTTGGAATTGAAATACTTATAAACAGCAACACTGTATTAGTACAACTAAAAACAAATTAGGGTAAACTGTTTTTTTAGTCCAGTAATTGGACCCCCTTGTCATTTTAGTCCTTGTAAGTAGAGCCTGTCGCAAACTAGTCCCATAAGTGAAATATTTTCGTTGTTTTAGTCCTCCGGCGCCGGAGATGCCCGCGTGGCTCGCCGAAGGTGACGCAGCGACACCTGGCGGACACGTGGATTTTTTTTATTTTTTTAAATTTTTTTTAAAATTTATTTTTAATTTATTTTAAATTTTATTTGTATTTTTTAATTTTTTTTATTTGGTCCAATTAAAAAAAATTAAAAAAATAAAAAAAATAAATAAATCCACGTGTCAGCCCGGTGTCACTGACCCAGCGGGACACGTCACTTCCGGCGAGCCACGCAGGGTCTCCGGCGCCGGAGGACTAAAGCAGCGAAAATTTTTTACTTATGGGACTAGTTTGCGACAAGCTCCACTTATAGGACTAGTTTGCGACAAGCTCTACTTATAGGACTAAAATGATAAAGGGGTTAGTTAGGGACTAAAAAAACAGTTTACCCAACAAATTAATATGAAACATAAAACATATTTCAAGTCAAAATAAACTATCCATGAAAATAAATTTGCATATGCATTTTTTCACAGCTGAATTTCTGAAAAATAAGATAATAAAATAAATTCTTTAGAAAAAATCAATAAAATTAAAATAATTTTCTTTCGGTGCCTTAAAAATTATCCATATTTTTTTTTATTTTGGTATATTCCATAACAAAGTATCAAATTTTTTAGTAACCGTATTATCTGCCTAATATTACAAATACCTTCCAATTTACAAATTAGCCTTTTACTTTTATTTCTAATATATTTAATATAATACTAATATTTTTTAAATTCTATGCAAAAAGCTTCCAAAATACATTTTAGTCTTTTTATTTTTATTTTACTATATTTTAATATAATACTAATATTTTTAAAATTTTGTGAAAAAAAAAAAAAAAACAAAGGGATAGATAGATATGAGACGGAAGGAAAGGAGTAATAATAATAAATTGCAAATTTGAGTTATAGTACAATGAAATTTGTTTACCAAAAAAAAATGCAGCTCAATTGAACGAAGATTTAAACTTTTCTGACACCTAAATTCCTGAAAAATAAGATAATATAACATCTTTTTTAAAAAATCAATAAAATTAAGAAAATAAGTTACAAATATAAATAATAAATTTATTTACCGCAAAAGGTTGAAAACTCAATAATCTAAATTTTCTATAATCGGTAACAGAAGCCATTTATAAACGAAGCATCCTGTAAATTAAAATTAAAAGTGAATTTCCAAAAGTATAAATTGTGGGAGATATTAGCAATTGTCGATGATAGTCTGCTATTGCTGCTAACCGTTTGATATTGTTATTGCATGAATTTTCAAGAGTAATAATTTTTATTTATTTTACTGTAAGAAAAATAACACAAGACGAAAGAAGCAATTTATAATTTACAAAAAAAAAAATATTTACTGATGCTACAATGAAAGTTTACTTCGATGTTATTTATCTAAATTCAAAATATATGCTTCTTATGTTGTAAACAAAAAATTAACAAACAACCAAAAATATATATTTCACATTTAAGTTGAAATTAACTAAGTATTTAAATTTAAATAAGATACTTACTTCGATTTTTTCAAAACTTTCACGTTCGTTTTCATCCACAATTTGTGGTTTACCCTTTTAAATCCAATCATGTGTACATATAAGTGCTTTAATCAACTTCGGGGTAAGAGAATTATGAAAATAATTAATAACATAATCTTCCGTACTGAAAGCTGACTCTGAAACAACCACAGACATTGAAATGCCAATACATCTGTTGTTATGTGAGAAATGTACAGATATTTGGATCCCGTTGTTTTCCATCAA